TCATTTATTATCACCATCCTCATCATCATTATTGTCATCTTTGTCATTACCATCATCATTTATTATCCCCATCTTCACTGTCATTATCATCATAACCATCATCATCATCATCATCAAAACTGCAAATACAAAATAGTTACTCCTCAGCTATTTTCCTTGGATATCTTCTAATCCTGTGAGGTTCTTTCTTTGCTAGATATCAGAGAATTTCTACTTTGACATGAATCCAGAGTGGTGTCGTAAGCTGCTAAAAGAAACAACCCCTAGGATCGATATCTCGACCCTCAGCCGATCAGCCATCTTCTCCATCACATACCCATCAACTGACGTGTTTCTGGTCATTAAACTAGAGAAGATCTTACAACAAGGAGATATCAGTGATATCGCTGAGCCATACATGAAGGACACAGATAATCAAAAGGTACAAAATTGTATAGGCCAATCTTCGTTTACGTTTTTTCCTCATTAGCATAAAAAGCGGTATGACTTACAAAGAAATGTATGGTCCTTTGGCAGGACTTGCCACACAACCATACATTTCTTTGTAATTTATAGTGTTTTTGAAAAAATCCCAAAATATTGAACATATTACTCTCAAATTTTCAGTAGTTACTAAATAAGACATTCTCGTTCAATTTCTGGAGTCGGTTTGCTCGTAGCTTGAAATGTTTTTGTACTAATGAGGAAAAAATGTAAACAAAGATCGGCCTATGAGTGCTCACCATTATTCCTCTTTCAACCACACATGTTAAAACAAGATTCAAAGCTGACAAAACCAACAATTTTTCTCATTCTCATTTTCGTTCTTTAACCTTTTTCCTGGGTATTTCCAATTTTTTTGGGGGTAAAAACTACCTAGAAAAAAAAAATATTTTGGTAAATTATATTCACGCTTAAAACTCTGGCATTTCAAAACTACAAGCAAGGTTTTACTTGATGTATGACTACTCTTTTTACTCTTTGTTCATATATGGTATTATGATTTGCATTCCCAGCAACGGGATAAAGTGCGTAATTCAGTTATAAACAGCGCTGAGAGGCTTGGGAAGTATCGTATGCCCTTTGCGTGGACTGCTATCCATTTGATTGACATCATTAGTGGAGCTGCRAGCACAGACGCTAGTGTGAGTACTGAAAGAGATTCTGGGTCTGCTGGGACTCCTGGACGAAAGGTAAATGTAAGTAAATGTAACTAAAAATGTCTTTGAAATAATACTCCTATTTCAAATTTGTCTTTGCTCAGCCTTAAGGCTCGATGGTGTGCAAATGCCTTCTTTTCTTTTTTAAGGTCCAATATTTTAATGCACAACAGAGGCTGAAGGCTTAGCAAAGACAAACTGGAAACTGGAAAATTTACTAATAGTATTAATAATGATTAATAATTATTATTGGTGGTAGCAAATTGTGTATTAATGTAAATGATCACTTGAGACTGCTGTGTGTTGCAGAGATAATAAAATTTTACCAATCGGTGAGTATGTGTGGTCATGGCACTGCACAGCTGTGGTCATGGCACTGCACATTTGTGGTCACAGCACTGCACATCAGGTGGCCACAAATCTGCACATCTGTGGTCATGGCACTGCATGTCTGTGACGATGGCACTGCTTGTTTGTGGTCATGGTACTGCACAGCTGTGGTCATGTCACTGCATGTCTGGTCATTTCACTGCATTTCTGTGGTCATGGCACTGCACAACTGTGGTCACGGCACTGCACAGCTGTGGTCATGGCACTGCATGTCTGTGGTCATAGCACTGCACATCAGGTGGTCACACATCTGCACATCTGTGGTCATGGCACTGCATGTCTGTGGCGACAGCACTGCATGTTTGTGGTCATGGCACTGCACATTTGTGGTCACAGCACTACATGTCTGTGGTCACAGCACTGCACGTCTGTGGTCATGGCACTGCACATTTGTGGTCACGGTACTGCTCATCTGTGGTCACAAGTCTGCCCCAGCCTATCCTCCAGTGGAGTATACAAACCCGAGTTATATTTGTGTTGTACTTTGCATTGATAGTAATTAAAAATAAATAAAAAGATAGTTGATTTCTTATGCATGTTTTCCCTGTTCATATACATACGCATCCATCATACGCTATTTTATCCCCACAGACCAGTTTAGACTCCCCAGCCGTTAACAAACCTGGAAAACGAGGAGATAGTTTCCCAAGATACATCAGCATGGCAGATCAAAGAAAATCCTTTCATGGACCCTATTTGGGAGAAGGATCAGACTTTGAGCTATTACCAGACCTCACAAAGTTTAGACCAGTCACCCTCACTGTCAGTAGCTTCTTTAAACAGGTAATTTATTAGTTCTTTTGTATTTGATACCTGAACTTGGCATCACTCATGAGTTAACTGTTGTTTCTCTCCATTGATTCAAGTATTCTGGGTTGACAGTTTTTCCTCACTCTGCAAAACCAAACACTGTAATTTCTGATTCCATCTGTGAGTTAGCCATCTAATCTCCAATTCGATCCATAAGTTATCCATATGCCCTAACTTTGATCAGCCCAGAGGCTGTTTCAGGGTTTGATCTGTGAGTTAGCCATGCCCTGACTTTGATCAGCCAGAGGTTGTTTCAGGGTTCGATGTGTGAGTTATCCATACCCTGACTTTGATCAGCCCAGAGGCTGTTTCAGGGTTAGATGTGTGAGTTAGCCATGCCCTGACTTTGATCAGCCCAGAGGTTGCTTCAAGGTCAATAATATTTTAAGGTTATATAGTTCTTACATCCAGTCTAGTAATTTCTTATTTATTTCCACTTGTCACAATTATGCAGGAGTCTGATAAACTCAAGGATGAAGACCTGTACAAGTTCCTAGCAGATATAAAGCGTCCCTCATCTGTTCTTAAGCGGTTGAAGTGCATCCCAGGTTTGTATAGGGATTTCTAATATGATATTGTGCTGCGAGTATTTAATGTATTGGGGAGTGTCCAATGACATGTCTAATCCACTCTTAAAATTATGTTGAATGCAAGACTAACATGGAAATACAAATAAAAAGAAATGCCACAAAATAATTCCATGGAGAAAAAGTGTGATTTCTTTAGTATTTCCATGTTAGCCTCCCATCCACAATACTTTTGACAATCACTTCTGTTATTCCCAGGTACTTTAAAACTGGATATATCACCCCCTGGAGATTCACCACCATATTGTTTGACCCCAGAGCTGCAGCAAGTAAGTATACTTATACAAACGTCAGTGGTGGTGTTTTTCAATATTATAGAGTTTAAGCAAAGCTTAAGGAAAAAAGGATGCTTTATTATTTTMTTTTCTTTAAAAAACTGATTTGAGGGCATGACAGAAAGAACAGGCATAAGAATCTAACAAAACTTTATAAAGGATGTTGGGGAGAAAGGGTTTTTATCAGTAAGATAGCCTTGGAACTGTCCAACATTTGTTCAACTATGACCATCCTTGTACTCCTAGGTGTATCCTTACCCTGACGGCCAAGGAAGACCAACAAAAGAAGTTGAGGAATTTGCTCCAAAAGAAGTCTATTCTCCTTTTCTTACCTACCAGTAAGCTACTATATACCATGAAAAATATTTTTTCTGTATAGGAACTCACTTGTTTGGTGCTCTAGCCTTACAATCTTTTTTTTTTGTAGGAATATTCTTTACATTTATCCTCAATCTGTAAACTTCTCGAGTCGAGGCGGCTCTGCTAGGAACATTGCCATCAAGATACAGTTTATGGCAAGTGAGGATGTGCACTCTGCTGTAGAGGTAACAATGGATGCATTAGACTGGCTTGATTTTATCATCTTACAATATTAATGGGTGTTTTTGTCTTGCTTCAGTGTATTTTTGGAAAGTCAAGTTGCCCAGCACTGTCTTCAGAAGCCTGGATGCCAGTTACATATCATAACAAGTGAGTGAGAAATGTAATGTAATGATGATGATATTCATGGTCATGATGATGGTCTAGATGGTAATGATGGTCATAAAGATATTTAGTTAATAAGGATGATGATGATATGATGATGATGATAATGATAACTGATGACGTGGATGAGAAGGACTGTATTGAGAAGATATTGATAGTGGTGACAATGATAATGATGATGATGTTGATGATGATGGTAGTGATGAAGATAAAGATCTTTAGTTATAATGTTGATGATGATGGTGGTGGTGGTGGTGATGACTGATAATGTGGACAAGAAATGTTTAGAAGATGATGATGATGAAGATGATGAAAATAATGATCAAGATCATGACATTGATAATGATGATGGTGATGGTGATGACTGATACATGTAATGTCGACAAGAAGGACTGTGTTTAGAAAATGATGATGATGATGTTGATAATGGTGATGAAAATCGTGATCAAGATCATGATGTTGATGATGATGATGATGTCGATGACTGATAATGTAGATAAAAAGAACTGTGTTTAGAAAATGATCATGATCATGATGTTGCTGCTGATGTTGATGATGATGATTGATAGTGTTCTTGCACACATGTTTTAACTTTGAATTTCTTGTTTTCCTAATCAGATCACCAGACTTCTATGAAGAGATTAAAGTCAAGATTCCACCTCACTTGACAGATCAGCACCATATTCTCTTCTCATTTTATCACATAAGTTGTTCTCCAGGGAAGAAACCAGAGGAGAARGATACAGTGGAAATACCTATTGGTTATACGGTATGTCATATTTAAATAACAACAATTCAGCAAGGATAAGTTAAGCCTCTTCACCATTAGCATTGAGTTGTTTATCTGTCCTCCAAAATGGAGAATCTTGCCTTTTCCCAGTCTACTTCTTTGCATTGATTGATCCTTATATTTTTTTGCAGTGGATTCCTGCACTAAAGGATGGTCGCCTGTCGCTTGGTGAATTTCATCTGCCTGTCTCACTTGAGAAGCCTCCACAAGGCTACAGCATGTTGTCTACTGAGGTCAGTATGGAATATCGAGATGAGCCATTTTTGGGATGGGCTGCAGAAACATTAACCCCACCCCCACCCCCCCAAACATTTTAAAACTTCCTAAAAATGTTTTTATTCATTTATAAAATTACATTACTTTATATGAATACCACATTTTATTGACTTGCACAGCATAGATAGCTTCTCCTCTTCCTTCAGTCATTGAGCATGCACGATCCTGTATCACCTACATTACTAGTGTCAGACCATGTAGAACTACAAATAGAGTAGCTTGAGAAAGAGATTAAAGGAAATTTACTCATGATCTTGTTTATATTTTTTAGGTTCAACTGCCAGGGATAAAGTGGGTTGAGGGACACAAAGGGGTGTTTCACGTGACTGTCAGGGCTGTGTCATCCATTCATACACAGGTATCCCACATCTCAGGTCTACTTACTTTACTTTGATTTTGCTTTTGTTTTATTTGCTTTAATTGTGTCATGTGTCATGTAGAAATCATTCTAGCTGGATGTAACACGTCATGCCATACTAAGTCATACATTATTCCACCACATTTAGTAGTTATTAGTGCTCTTTACAAACTGTGAGTCAACCAAATATCTCTCCCTTATCAAGGACCAACACATTCATAAGTTCCTCAAGATGTGTCATCACATCGAAGGACGCTTACAGTCCCCATCACGCAGTACCGAGGGAAACCTAGAGATGGTGTTACGCAAAAGTATACTAGACCTACCCAAAGCACGCGAAGAAGCTCTTGTTAGATTCCTGCATATCATACTGGACAAGCTGATCTTGCTTCTTGTCCGCCCACCCATCATATCAGGAATAGTAGGTATGTAACACGTACTTGTGTTAAAAAAAGGATATACATTACCATAAAGTGAAATTCCTGCAATAGAGGTTTTGCACCATCACGTGCCCATCCCATAATACTGCCTGGGCTGCCTGTGATTTAGATGGCACAATAATAAAATACCTTTGCTCTTGGAAATTTAATTCTTTCTCATGTAAAATGACTGTATTGTTCCTGCCATCTAACATGGCTGCC